GAGCATAACTGGATGTCCATACGTAGTCTGCTGCCTATCAAGCACGTTCATCCAGTGCAACTACTTCTAGTCCAATTCATCTACCAAACACTCTATGAAAGCAGAATTTCAATTTAAGCAAATACAGGGCTGAAAGTTATTATTTTCCTATACTGAAAATTGATTTCTGATAGGTACTTACCTTTTCTCACATGTATAGCTATTGTAGTTCAGTGCTTCTATCTATATGCAAATTTGTTTTTTTTCATGCCACAAGCCTTAAACTCCCATATACCCCACAATCAATGTGGTTCAACTGCATCTCTCATTATGCAACAACCATCCTCCTCAAATAGGAGTGCAACACACCCTCTTGACATATGTGACTTCCTCTATCGAACTATCACTTCGAAATTAGGCAGAAAAAAAAGAACCACTTTTCAGTGCATAGGAAGGGTAGGACGTGTGAGAGAGGTAAGTACTTATCAGAAATCTATTTTCAGTATAGGAAAATATTAACTTCTGATAATGGACATTAGGCAGAGGGATAGAAATAAGTATCCTTTGAAAGCTCCTGAAGAACACCCATGAAGTGTGATTTCTGTTGGGAAAGGAACACACCTTGAAGACCGTACCACTTCTGTACCAGGTATTCTCTTTGCCCAGTGTAGAAATAGGTGTTGCATACACAGGCTGAAAGTAAGAGGAGCCCAACCAAAAAGGGGAGAGAAAACTGGTTGAGTCAGAATCTGAACCACTGTATACTGGAAGCTGAATCGCATAGAAGAACCATCTACAAACATGAATGTGTGGAAAACTAAAATGGGTTTGCTCCAAGATGTAACGTGACTAGGGCACAGTGAACTGTATGCAGCTGGTATCAGGAATAGAACCTCCAACGCGTAGTGGGAGGAGGGTTCACACAGTTTTCACCTCAAGTTAAGTAGAATGAAAGGATATACTGTGCAAACCGATCTATGAAATAGGCACATGCATAAATCCACAGCCAACCACATATCCAAGAACCCAAAATCTGAATAACAGTAGGAAAAGATGTCCCAAAGTGGTAGGTCACATCAAACTCAACCTCAATCAGACTGGCACCACAATGCACAACATCAGCCTCAGGCAGTGAAAACACCCTGAGGTAGACTGCAAGAGGAAGAAACATCACCCCAATCAACATTATCCTCCAGATATGACTGCACAGAATCTGAAGCTTAACAACACCCTCTGAATTCCACCACATGGAAGTGGATCACCTCTCGAAACATATAGCAACCTCACCCTCTGGATAGAACTGCACAAAAGCTGGGACCCACTGCACGGAGGTGGAGATCCTGTGGCAAATTGAGTGAGGAAGAGGTAACACAACCAACAGATGTGTGAGAATTTATGTTGATTGATCCAGCTCTAATCCAAAATCACTCAATAGTAACTGACATTCAGGTGATGGTAGATGGAGGGATCCCAACTGAAGAGCTGAACTGCAATGTAATGAGTCTACTCCAAAGCAACATCATCCTTCAGATCAGACTGCACAAAAGCTGGAGCGCAATAGCAACCTCCGGGTCCCACTGCACAGAAGTGGATTTCATCCATAAAATATAAGAAACCTCACCCTCCAGATAGAACCACACAGAAGCTGAATGCAACATTAACCTCCGAGACCTCACCCTCCAGATAGAACCAGACAGAAGCTGAATGCAACATCAACCTCCGAGACCCACCACACAGAGGCGGAGCATATTGGTTTGTAGATATGCACAACATCATCCTCCAGATAGGACTGCACAGAAGTTAAGAGTACAATACCACCCTCCAGGTCCCACCACATGAAAGAGGATCACATCTAGAAACTATAAGCAACCTCACCCTCTGGATAGAACCCCACAGAAATTGGTTGCAAAATCAACCTCCAGGATCCACTGCACAGAGGTGGAGCACATAATTGGAGGATTGCACACCATCTACACCAGCAAAATACCACTGCCATACTCTCTACTGAATGGAAGCAAACATATTCAGAAGGATTTCTCAATGGTCTATCACCTCAGTGGCAAGGATTCCCACACTCCACTAGAAGAACAAGGGGAAGAAAATTGGATGGAGAGTCTGGAGGAATGCCAACACCAAAGACAGTGCAATGGGTGACCATAAAATCCCTATTTTGAAAAGCAGACTGCCCCTGATTTATTCAATCAAAGGGACAGCAGGAATGGACAGCTATATCCTCTTATTTAATCCTTGCAAGTCCAGGGGTTAGTACGGTCCAGAAGGGATACAATAATGAAGTAAATATATCCCAAAGAAAAACCCACTAGTGATCTTGTAGAACACCCCATCTCAACAATGTGCATTATTGGCCATGAGTATATATCATGACCATACAGTATGGATTTGATATATAGGAAGCATACCTAAATGGGACATGCTCCTGGTAATGAAAAATATATAAAAAGATAACTTACCCAGTCATGGCTGCACCGAAGTTTGAAGGTTGGCTACAGTCATAAGGCAGTATCTCAACAAGGAAGAAACAATTACACAATGAAGATGGTGGGAAATGAATGTACGAGGTGGATGCCACATACCTGACTGAAGAGTTTCCTCCAATGAACGATAAAGGTGAGACTCCAAAAAAATGGGAAAATCCCTGATCACAGAGTCCACATGTGAATCCAAAGACTCTGGAAAATCTCCAAAACAAACTGCTGGAGAAAAGGAGCCATCCGGAAGTCATGAAGATAATGGGAAGATAGATGAACCTGTGAAATTTCATCATCCTTCCCAATAAGATCCCAACAGCAACTAAACCACATGTGAAGGAATAGGGCCAAAGAGGACAATGGTGCCAAGGAGCTAGGAGTAAGAAGAGAAAGTGTATCCCCCAAAAACTTCTCAGGGGATCAGTGGAGTGCCTGAAAAAGGGGTGTGTGTGTTAAACAAGTACTGTAGGAGAGCTGTAAGGGTAAGACAAAGGTGGGAAAATGACATGGTAAAAATTTATAGGATTATAAGGGACAGTCCCCATATAAGCAAAATTGACTTCAACTGCTGGGAGTCAAGAAAGGGTTGATCAACTGGCAGATAAACCAAAGCATAATGATCATAAGTCTATGAGAAATGAAATGCTCAGCATGAACCCTGATGTCAGGGGAAGGAGGGAAAACAAATGAAACTGGAACACACCTGAAAAAGCATATCCAAAAAGGCAGAGTTCAGTCTAGTAGATTATGTTGGATATGCACGAGAAAGCACAGCATAGGTAGGAGGATGAAAAAAACTGACAAAATCCTCCTCGTCATGAGCAGGGTTTGGCAATGTGAAAGGACCCCAAACATTGTCAGGAGAAAAAGGAATGCCTCACATAATGATCAATCTCCCAATGAATATTGGACAAAAAATCCTCAGTCAAGATCCTAGACCTGAAGCTGGTAATGGCACTAGAAGTAGAGGTATTAATATAAGAAGTTGCAAAACACAAACTTCGGAATTCATATTAAACCATAAAGAAATAGTGAATGAGAAAAAATAAACAAAGGTAAGTTATCGCAGCAAACTACTACAGAAAAAAACTAACTCTAGCAAATGAAAAAAATCAAGTAAATCACTACTTCCCAAAAAAAAGAGAAATGAACACATGAAAAGAGCACAAGTGAAAAGCATCTGCACTTGATCACTGCTTAATGACAAGTGATAGTTCAGTAGAATCGAATAGAGGGAGCCACATGCATCAGGAGGGTGTGTCACACTATTATTGGTAAAGGGTTGTCGCTTGATGATTTACATGGGAGACGCAGTTGAACCACATTGATCGTGGGGTACGTGGAAGTTCAAGGCATGTGGCATCCAAAAAACTTTTGGATATAGAGGGCAGCACTAAATGATAATAGCTATACATGTGATAAAAGATAATGTACTGTATTAAAAATACAATATATCTGAGGGCATGAAAGAAAAGTTCCTTCACATGGTAACATGCAATGCCACAAAAATGATGAAAGCCTGGTAGTTACCTCAAAAGAAACAACCTGCCCATCTCATATCATTCTGTGGTTGTGTCCCTAATATTTTAAATCTTCTTATAGGTGACACCATGAAGTTTCAATCAAGCTCTACAACCAAAACCCAATGCAAGCAGATTGTAAATAATGCCCAATTTCCCATCTTCTGAATACAAGAAGAAATAAATGAGAATCTTACTGAAACTGTTAGACAAAACATGCTGGGACTACATTGTGCTTTTCTGTACAAGTTTGTTCCAAACAAATTCTGTTCTCCTGGCACTATAAGTATTGTAACAATCTCTGAAGAAGTCACACCTACCTTGGACACCTTCTTTGAGAAAGATGAAAAACTAGTTAAGTTTTTGGAACCTCTCATTAAATGTATCACCACCCTTGAATCAGATATCCCAAAATACGTCTTTTACCACAAGTTTCAAATTAGATGTTATCTACTTCTCCATTCACTATCTCTGATGAGAAGCATATCCTCAATACTTCAAAAACATAAGGAACTTACACTTCACTCAGTTCACACAGCAATAAACAATCTGGGTCTTGTATACATGGAAGAGTATCTTTCCCTGAATGACATCATCAAAGCATTTCACTTATAGAAAATCACAGATAATAAGCCAGATGATAACTAGAAAGAAGTACTGTCTGACTTGGCATGATATAGAGAGAGATTGGTCACTCTGATAAGGTGTAAAGATATTTGTGGGTCATTTACACTGATCAAGGTAGCTGTCACTATCCTCCGCTTCCCTAGATCTTCTGCAGAGCCTAAGCAAATCTTCAGCATGTAAAAAAACATTTGCAACAGACTTACTTCAGAGAAGGCTGGCATGTTAATTCACACAGCTTACTCCCAAATTGTGGAACCTCAGCTATCTGGTTGGGGCTGGCCTATAATGATGATTACTCATGTACTATTCCACCCTTGATACAGGAACTAAGTTCCAAGTGAAGAGCATACCTGTTCTGGATGTAGTGTGGTTCCCCCACGAATAAGTGAGTTCAACTTACATTTTTAGTAGTAATGTATATGCTGACTAAGTGAGTTCAACTTACATTTTTAGTAGTAATGTATATGCTGATTGAGTGAGTTCAACTTACATTTTAGTAGTAATGTATATGCTAAGTTCAATTCAGGTTTCAGCTGGTGAATGAGAACCAACTCCATATTTTAGTTTTTTCCCACTCAGCGACCATACTTATTAAGAGTTTTCTATAGAAAATGGTTTCCACTTTCTTCACTAAATAAAACTTGCCTCATGAAAATCTACCCCCACCTCCAAAAATACCATATATAGGGTAAAATTTTTAATCTAAGAGAAAACTAAGGAAGATTCTAGAGTTTATGTATCCTAAAGTGTGTCTTTTTTTTATATGCTTCTAAACCATGAGAACCAGAGATTGAATACAAATGTAAAATCAATCTCTATTGAAGCAAACACAGCAAAAATTTATAAGTTACTTGCCTCAACGAACAATCGCCTTTATTGAAGAATTAATTCTGAAGTTGTTTCTTATCTTACTCGGTCAGCATATTTTATCAGACTGACCCTGTTGTGGTCTTGTTCCAGACTAACTCTATCGAGATCTTGCTCCAGATTAAAAAAAAAATGTTACTTACTCATCTCATTAACATCAAACATTCCTAGAGTGACTAGGATACCCATGTCACTGGTCATTGCAAGTGAAACATAAGGGAGGTCGTAACTTCAACAGACCACCTGACTGCCAGTGAGAAAGGTAACTAAATTCACATACTACCGTGACCAACCATGCAGCTACCTTTACCATAGGAAAAGAAAAGGTGTTACTTTAGGCAACTGACACAGAACAATATGTAACAAGAGCAACAGTAGCCTAATGATCTTCTTGACCAACATGTTCTATGGAAACTACATATATCTGCACAAATGATAAATTTTGAAAATTTTCTATATCAATTCAAGGAGGTAGAAAACACTTGGTATTCTTATATACCACACAAGCTGCACGTAGTTGTTGCAAACAGTTGTAAAATGGTGAAGGAGAATAAGAGAATAATATTACAAAATGATAGCACTTAAGACATACATTACTATGTAATAAACATCTTCACAAAGCCTTAGCAAGTGAAGATATATTTGTATGCAACAGTGAAATTAAACTGAAACTCAATTTCATAGAAAAACCATTTCACTAACAATGTTGTACTGTTTTGATATTATCATCCAAACTCAAAACAATCAAATTCATCATGTGAAATGATAGTAAATAAATAGTAAAATTCAATTCATCATAATTTCCTTACATTCCAGTGTGTGAAATTAAAAATGCAAAATCATACTTACTAGCTATTAAGGACAATGCACAATGAACCTGATAAATAACAGCCACACTGACATTGTAGAATGGAACCAAGGTAACTATGAGTAACTTACTTTGCCTCCTTTGCTCATTAATGCTGCTCCTCCAAGTAAAGCAGCACCAGCTGCCACACCTACACCTATAGGGATAGCAGGACTCCCTTTGTGGTAGCCTCCTGAAGACTGCTAAAAAAAATTCAAAAGTTTTATATCTAAGATAAAAGATCCAGTCTAAAATGAACAAGAAATTAGTGAAAAAGAATGAGCAAGTTGTGTCTTTAAGTGCTTGCTTGTAACTAAACATATGGACTAAGAAATATAAAAAGTCATTGTATTGAGTACAAATAAAAAAGGAGTTACTATATCACAAAATTATACACCAAGATTAACTTTCCTACCTTGGAATAAAATCAGATTTAATTAACCTCAAATTAATGCTTTCCAGCAATGAAATAAATAAATCTGTATTCTCTAACTGAAATTGTGAGAAATAGGGAAACTGAATACAACTGTCATATCATAATAAGCAATCTCTATTCAAGTAAAGACAATGAAAATCTGAACTTAACTTGTCACAACGGACAGTCACCTGTACTAAAATGTTAGCTTTGAGACTGAATCTAGTCCAAATAATTTAATGATTTTAATGTTAAACTGAAATATTCTGAGAAGTAACACAGAATCCAGCAGTATAATATTAATGTTTTATGTAAGTTAATATAGTGGACAGCACTACTGAAAAACTTGCCCTACATGTGCCACCAAGTTCCGTGGGAAATCTTAAATGTTTATAATACATAAAACATAAGATGTCATTTATTTCAAAATGCTTTATACTGTTAAGTTCACTCAAATGTTTCAAACAAATGATAAAGTTTTAATATTATTGTCTACGAATAAAGAAATATGCTGGAACTTTCCTAACTGAACATTTGGCATATTCATAATCAATCTACAATGTATATATATATATGCTGACTAAGTGAGTTCAACTTACATTAACTAATAAAGAAATATGCTGGAACTTTCCTAACTGCACATTTGGCATATTCATAATCAATCTACAATGTATATATATATATGCTGACTAAGTGAGTTCAACTTACATTTACTAATAAAGAAATATGCTGGAACTTTTCTAAACTGCACTTATGGCATATTCATATTCATTTATATAAACCATAAATATCATACTACTGTATTCTGTGTTAGTTCTTAGAATATTTCAGTTTAACTTTAAAAACATTAAAGTTTATGGACTAGACTCAAATATATTTTTAATAATGAATTCTTTAAACCCTTGTTAAATTAATTCACAACCACCAACAATTAAATTGCTTTGTTTTTTTTGTCTTGTTTTTTCAAAGGACTGAAATAATTTACAAGCTACAAATCTGAAGCTTGTGCATCATGATTAGGTATCACAAGTTTTATTTATTGGATTACCAACCACTGGATATGCTGATGAATGCCCTAATTGCTGAGATGGATATGTCATTCCAGGCTGAGTGGGATATCCTGATGTGGGTGGGATATTGAAGCCTGACTGGAATGGAAATGATACACACATGTATTTTATACAAGTTTGTTTGAAGTTAACACTTTTACAGGCTGTACTAAGAAGTATACATATTAAATGCATCTTTATGTTATATTATGATGATCTTATTCTTCATAATAGTAAATAATTTACAAAAAAAATTGTATGGCCTCCATATAGGAAGCACCTAAATTTAGAGCATTTTCTGTTAAAATTGTTCTGTAAGTTAACATTTTTTTAAACTGAAAATGTATTTCTGATACATACTTACCTCCTGACACAAAAAGCTTTCTTGACTTGTACTGCCCTCTACTGGTGCAAATGTATGCTCATCACTAGTCTTGTTTCCCCTACTTATTACTGCAGATGATCATGCAACAACCCTCTACCAATAGGAGTGTGACACTTCCCCTATTGTAACTAGTTTCATCTCTAATCAAGTACATGTTAATCACTTCAAGATTGGTCAGAACTAACAAAACCAATTCACACCAGAAATGGGGAGGACAGGTGGGAAATTTGAGAAGAGGTAAGTATCTATTGGAAATACATTTTCAGTTTAGGAAAACTAACTTTTGATACAATATCTTACCTCTTCTCACAAAATGTTAGAATCCCACACTGAACTGGTAGAGATCCAGTGAGCAGACAATACCCTTTAGGAAGCTCCCAAAGGAAGACCATGAGGTGTGATAAGAAATGAAAAACAATGCCCCAGTGGGAGAATGAACCACTTCTAATCCAGGTATATTCTTTGCCCTTTAGTAATGTGTCACCAAAACATAAAGGGTGGGAACTTGGAGGTGTCCCAAAAAAGTACAGATATAATGGGACCCCTGATGTAGAGTGGCTGGGCACAACAGACCATAAATTGGATTTCACCTCAACCAATACCTGGCAGCATCTAAAACTGTACATCAGGTCTATGGTAGGAAGAGGGTTCTCCACCTTTCACCTCAATAACAGGTACTGGCAGGAAAGAGGAGCTCCCGTACCAAGAACCTGTCTCTGCACATGCACAACTCAAACACCAGATCCACCAAGAACTGACATCCAGCAGATAGTAGAAAGGAGGAGAGAGCAGGTGGGTGTTCCTCTCTGGTCCAAAACATGTGGTGGCATTGGGAATTTGGTTATTCAGTCCATGGTAAAAGGAGGGTACCCAGCCTTACACAAGCAGGAAGTTATGTGTCTCGTCCAGCTACAACCAACACCAGATCCACAAGAAATCAACATCCAGTGGACAGTAGGAAGAGGGACTTCAATTTTGTAGTTGCATCTACAGTAAAAAAACTTGGCAGCATTGGGAATCTATCATCCAGTCTGTGGTAGGAGGAAGATACCAGCTAAACACATGAGAGGACTTATGTGGCTGGACTGTCTCCAACCAACACCCAATCCCCAGGAACCAGCATCTGGTGGATGTCAAGGAGGAGGAATGTGTCAACTGGAAGGGCAAACTGCATTTTTTGTTAATTTTTCATTTATACATATGGCGGAGAGCTACATCCAACTCCTAGTGGCATCTGGGATTGTACATCAAGTCTGCAGTAGGAAGGGCATCACACCACTGACACCCACTGAATGCCACTGCCATACTCTCAAACTGAGTGGTATTGTGCACACTCAGGAGGACATGCCTCCATCCCAGCAGCTAGGAACTGGTAAGTGGCATGGACTCCTATACTCCACTATACTCTAATGTGTTAGAGTCCAGCACCAGAGACAGTGCAATGGGTGACCACAATACCCTCTATTGAAAAGCAGAGCAATCACATTGACAGAGTGCAACATCTAGCATTTGGCAGCATCTGGAATTTTACATCAGGTCTGCGGTAGGATGAGCATCAAATGCCACAGATCATCAGAGATGGCCAGCAAATCCTGTCTGCTTTACTCATGTTAGTCCACAAGTGTACAGTTTGGGATGAAAATATTTATGAAGCAAAAGACCTTAGGTACATCTAAGAGTGGTCCAGCAGAACACCACATCTCAACGGTGGGTGTTTTTGCCCTTGTGTCATTATTTTGTCTTTTTTTCTAAATTTTATATCAATGCATAGATGACATATTGGATGGAGCTGATCAACCAACACCTAGTGCCATCTAGAAAGGTACTTCAGGTCTGCAGTAGGAAGAATCCCAATGTCACATTCATCTAGTGTATTCACAGGTTGTACACTGCAGATTTAAGACCAAGTATACCTGGTCAGGCAACACTTGCCAGAAAGTGGGATCCAAATCTACAATAAAGGCTCCTACAAAGAAAAAAAATATGAATGGAGTACTTACCACCACAGATAAACAGATATAGCACTGAGGATGTCCCACAAAGAAATGTGGAAATGTGCAGCCAGGGACACGGTAAGGTGATGGATCGGATGGGAAGAAAACATGAAAAGGCAACAATAATCAGGAGAAAAGGAAGAAAACATTATGCAAATGAACTGGTGAATACAAAAGCATATACATTACTACTAAACATGTAAGTTGAACTCAC